ATCCATGGCCATGGAGCCTGCCCCACAGAGTGACAGCCGAGTGTCCCCATCCATGGCCATGGAGCTCCTGGATAGAGTGACAGCCGAGTGTCCCCATCCATGGCCATGGAGCTGCTGGATAGAGTGACAGCTGAGTGTCCCCACCCGTGGCCATGGAGCCTGCTGGATAAAGTGACAGCCGAGCATTCCTGCTGCTCTCTGGCCGTGCCCCGGAGCCCTGCCCAGCAGTTGCTGTAACTCAGTCCGTGGGATCTTGCAGGACAATGGAATGAATCCAGGTCTCTGGAATGCACTAGGAAATCGCTGTAGAAGATGAAGGTCTTGATTTTTTTTTGCTGGTGGTTTTCCCCAGCATCGCTGGAGCTGTTGACTGGAAGTGCCACAAACCTTCTCCTGTGGTATAACCATTTTTAAACCACATGGCAGCTTCCTTCACGAACACAGCACATGCATAGCAAGGTTTATTTGCAGACACTTTCAGATTCTTATCTTTGCAACTGATGCTTGCCAGATCATTTCCCTCCAGCATTACTTGCTTGGGAGTCAGGTGAGCTTACCTATCTGAAAAAGTGCTCTTAAGAGACCAAGATTAATGTCAGGCATGTGCATAGTGTTCCTGTTATCAAGTGCTTTCCTGAACTGGGACCTGGAATTTAAAACATTTTAAGTATTCTAAGTATTCCCTATTTCAACTACAAGAAGTGAATCAGAAGGAGCTGCAGGACCTCACACCAGCACTGCTCAGGAGCTGTGAGAGCTCTGAGGGAGGAAAAGGAATCCCAGTAATTGTGATACCTGCAGGAGAGGGAGAACAAGCTCTGGGGGGGAAAGTCAGGCACACCATCCCTCTGGAGAGAGGGATGTGGTTTTGAAAACAAGAGGCTTTCTGGAGAAATGCATTAGCAGTTACCTGCCATTCATGCATGAGGAATAACAGCCCTGTGTGACAGGGTGCCTGGTGGCAGAGGGACAGACAGACCTGCAGGTACAGGGGCTGATGGCTGCAGGAGGAGAGCTCTGGTACAAGAGCCAGCTGAAGCTGTCCCTGACAGCAGCCATGCACAGCTTTGTTTACAGCAAAACATAAGCCCATGAGGGAGTACCATGAAAACTGCTAACCTACATGTGTGAATTCTTTAGTGGGTCAAACACATGCCAACAATGACAATGGCATTAAATTATTACTGCTGTTGTTTGTCTTCCAATTATTCATTCCTCCTTCTCCTTATTAATAATACAAATGAGGTTATATGTCCAGAGCATGCTTTCCACTGTCAGAAAAGACCTGATCTAAAGATGTCCCAGCCTTGCCCACATGTCAAGGTGCAAGTTTGCTAACTGGCTATGGACTCAGAGTTATTTCCACAACACTGCACAAACAGAACTGTTGGTTTCTTGTCACAGCTTAGAAACGATAATTAGCAAATGCCAAAATCCTCATGAAAAAAAGGCATAGGTTGTGGCAAAGTAATGAAAAGGCATAAGGGTGTGTTATTTTTAATAACAATAAGTGAGTGGTCAAAGCATAAAAGTTCTCACCTGTGGACAGATATTTATCATGGATCAGGTTTCTGTCTGTTAAAAGAAATTATTTGTTGAAGTAATGTCGAAGTTGATGCAAGGAAAAGTAATATGCTTAAAGATGAGAACAGATCACTTAAATTCACTATTCATATGCAAATATAACATTAATACAAAATCTTAAAAAGCAAAAAGCCCAAATCTAAGAACTGCAGAAAAAGGGCTATAGTCTGGAAGCAGAGAAGCTAGGATGATCACCAAAAGACATTTTTGTTTCTTTTATTAACATCTCTGGTATTTTCATGTACTATTTTATTTTTAAGTATTTTTATTTTATATGCCAGTGTTCCAATTAAAACTAAGTTTCTCTTTATACAATACATTAAAGCACATTTGATTTAAAATCAATGACACTGTCTTACTTGGAATTCATTATATTGTATCAAAATGTGATTTTGGAGGCTGTTTCCCAATGAATGTGAATACCAAAAAATAGCCTCTTTTTACTTTTTGCCTTCTGGTTTTGCCCAAACAGTCCATCTGGGTTGCTAGGCTAAAGATAAAATAATTTTAAAATTATTGCATTTTGAAAAGCAGATGCACATTTCAGTCATATGATACAAAAATGATCCAGCCTATATAACTCCTACTGCTTACTTTCAAAAAATTCCCTTGTTCTGAAGTCAGTCCAGTAGCTATTAGAAGTAGTCACTGATGTAAATTCCATCTTGTTTATGAAAACATTTTGAACAAAGCATTGATTGTCCAGAGTCCATAAAAAAAAGTGAAAATCTATAAAATGTTGGCATTGCTACTATTCAGGGCATGAGAATGACATGCATATAAATCATAGTTTATTGGCACAGGCTTTTCTACTCAGAAAGAAGGCTTTGCTGAAAATGTACTGCAATGCCTCTCTTTTATAGATTTCTTTTGAAAGTATTCTGAATCAGGAAATAATCAGAAGCAAATCTTAGTTTACAGTAGGAATCAAGGGCACAAGGAGTCTTTTATGCCATGGGTTGACTGTCACAGAGGGGCAGCCTATGGAGAGTTTGGGGAAATCAGGGTGGATGGAAAAGCCTCAGTGTGAAGCTTTGGGAGGGAAGGTCATCTGTGTGTCTGATGCCCCTCCATGCAGTCTCACCCACCCCTCTGTTAGCCCTGGGGACAGTAATATGTTGGTTGAATGTTTTTAGGAAAAGGCGCTACTATCACAGTTTAGGAAAGGTGCTGTACTTGCATTGCTCCAGTTCCAGACAGCTGAAGTCTCACTGAAGTTACATCAGAGTAAAACAAGAGTGAACCAGTCTAAGAAGTCTCACAGATAATTCTTTCCTGTTTCTTTTCCAGTAGCAGAATTATTGGCAGCCACCAGGGATCAATGCTGTAGTTAATGCTGGAGTGCTGCACTGAAGAGCAAACACTCCAGCAATCCAAGCAATTTTCTGTTAAGTCATTCTACTGGACTGCAGGGCTTGTGGGTGGGATTCTCCTAAGGGAGAAATATGGCAATGCCACAAGACTAAGTCCTTACTATTTCTTGGAATTTTAGTAACAGCCATAAAATTTATTGTTGGCACCTGAGTCTTTAGAAACACTAGGCAAATTAAACAATCGAGCATCAATCCTGCAGCTCTTCTCCTCATATGATGCTTATTAAAATACATTTGGTGAAGTGTTTCATGAATGGATTCCAGAATTTTCAAGCAGAAATGCTTAAAATCAGGTTCATAACTCCATGTCTAAATTTTTTTAATACAGTTATGCTAATTTTCCAGATTTTTTTTGAGCTTCTGAAGACTGCAAATGCAAGAGCTTTTGAAAAAAAAATCAAGCTAAATTTCAGGCAGGTCAATAATCTGAGCTAAAATGTGCATTAGGACAATTTTCTAGAATTTGCCAGAATGGTCCATTGTAGGTGTCAGGACTAGTGCTGTGAAGGCTAAAGGATGAATGGTCTGGCAGCCCTGATGTGTTCTGGGTTGATCCTAATTCCCTGGGGCTGGAATGCTGCAGGAGAACTGATTATGATGCTGTACATATAGCTAATGTGGATTGCCTTTTATTTTATCAAGTTTGGAAGCCTGACCCACAGATTGGTAGGGGATATTCCCACTGGAAGCACACTGTTTCCATCCATCTTAACAAAGTGGTCCACCGCTGATCACTGGGGCATAACTCTTGCAAAACTTTGCCTGTACTATATAATTTCATCTTCAAAAAAATCAAGGAAGAAGTAAATGTAGATCAGAAAACTATGAGGAGTGACCAGCAAAATTCCAGCCACTTTAACAAAAGCTTGGCAATGTGTGTCAGTCAGTGATTGCAGACATGACTAAGTTGTGCCATCTTGTCTGCACACAGAGTGTGTAATGTCCAGAAATCTTGTGTTCCAGCCCAAGGATTCTCCATTTGAGACAGACAATGAGTTGCACAGTTCTTCTTGTCAGTTGTTTTCTCCAGTTTTTGAGCATAGTTTTAAGCCAGAGGATCTGTTTAGGAGAGCCAAAGCTATGTATAGTAATGGCAGTTGCAGAACTGAGAGTTGGGGAGCTAGACAGCCTGATGGCTTGGAAAAAACAAGCATGGAGACAGGAAAGAGACACAGTTATTGGGATAAGACTTGGGCATGTGTGTGAATAGCTGGTGCATTAGGGAATACGTAGTTCAGCCACACTGTCCTCTACTGGTTAAAGCTGGATCTCTGCAAATGTTCTAATTCATGCTGTTTTCATTCTTTGGTGCCCAGTTTAAAGCGTTTCAAGGGGATCATACATTCAGACAGCCTATCTCCTTTAGCTGTGCCCTCAATACTTTTAAAAACTAAGAAAACAGTGTCTTTTGTACTGTCAAGGTTCATGATATTTACTCTCCTGTTCTTAAGACCTTTGTCAGAAGTGAGGAGGAGTTTCAATATGGGGGATTTCAATCAATTTAATCCATTGTGAATTAGCAAACTGTTAATTACTGATTCTGCTATTTTAAGTAATAAAACAATTCAGGGAGAAACACTTCCCTCTGTACACCTCTCCTTCCCCTTTTCTGGTCTCCAATCCCTCCAAGCTTTCATTGTGGGCTATGCTCAATCCGTCTGGAAAGGTGGAGGCTGGTGCAGGAGACAGGGGTCAGCAGATGGTCGATGTTTTTCTTTTTCTAAAGATATCAGAAATACTCATGTCCAGAAATTTAAAGGCTTTTGTGAAAGAGAAAAACTCCCCATCCTGGAGAAAACGTGGAATTCGAAGTAAACCAGATTATAACCCCTGCCCATGGCTAGTAGGGAGAACTAGATGATCTTTAAGGTCCCTTCCAAACCGCACCATTGTGTGATGCTGGGAATCTAAATTAAGGCAGGCCTTTCCAGTGGCCTGTGCACAGCCCTGCTGCTGCAGGGAGTTTCAGCTTGCAAGCTGACTGCTCTGTGCTCTGTGTGGATCGTGAGGCACCAACAACTACAACCTGTGTGCTGCTTTCAGGTTCTGGACGACAGCTGAGACCGGCCGAGGCCCCGGGAGATGCCGATGCTGATGCAGATGCAGATGCAGAGGAGGAAGATTCTGTGAGTGTTTTAGAGTTGAATTTTTCTGTAATGACAATTTGGCAGAATGGGATCTTAAATATTTTGTTTATGGCTAGGTCTTGCTGGTGGTTTTCCTTCCCATTAAAAATGTTGTATTTTTGCTTGGGACTGTCCTGCCAGCTCAAAACCCAGAAAGATGTTTCAGTGTAAAGGCATCTGCTCTTTGCCATGGCTCATTGGCATAAGTTTGCTACCAAGACTTAGCAAACTATTACATGGCTGTTAACTACAGTAACGTTTCTTTAAGGATTTAGACAGTTTAAGTTCCCTATTGTCTGACTGGAGAAGGAAGAATGCCAATTGCTTGTCAGCAGAAATTCCTGCTGGGACTTTTGCTTGCTTATAGAGGGAGTAAAGTTTGAAGACATTGGATGCAAAGTTTAGGTATGGAAATAGAGCAGGGATGGGATTTTTTTTTTTTTTGTAACTTTTTCAGTTATTACTAATTGATCTGTCTGTTTTTAGTCTGTTCAGTCTACAGATACACACAATACATAAAGAAAATCAAAATAAGCTTACCACTGGGTTTTGTCTCTCAGAACTCTTTCCCTTGTGGGTTTGAGTGCTTTAACATGAGAGCTGTATTTGTTCTTGACCTAAAAAAAGAGTTATTGGTTATTTTTTATCCACCATCAGGAAGGAAAGATTTTTACTCAGAAGGACACTATGGACAGCTAGAGAAACAGTCCTAAAAACAAGTCACTGTTTAATGGTGAGTGTTCCTTTATCACTGCTCGTGTCTTTTCCACAGGTTACCGAAGTGGCAGTAGAAGACATTCGTCCAAGGCCACAAGGATCCTCTCCAGTTTATGAGTATCCCGAAGAAGAAGACTATTTAAAGGCAAGATAATTAATTTTCATGCAGGCATGGCTTTATCAAGTTGATTCAAGAGGCTTTAGCTCCCACAATGCCATAGAATGGGACACTGCTGCAGCCACATTGTCTTCCTGTCCCCACCAAAACTGCACCTCTGTTCATTGATGGATTTATTTTGTGCTGGGCTTCCTGACCATGTTCTTGTTTCTGGGCAAGAAAATGCATTTGACTTAATTCTGTAAAGGACACAAGACAGAGAGCATAAAGAAATTGTAGTGTTTTTCCTGTTAGAATGTATGGCTTGAACCTAATTAATAACTATTTCAAAATTACCTGTACCTCTTGGTTATTCAAAGTTAGAGATTTAATTAGTCAGCCATGTTAAGTAGGCAACAGTTTAAAATTCATGCCGAAGATGAATAAGTAAAAAAAATTACGTTTACAAAATTGAAAGATGAACAATATACTTCATTAGGACACAGAAAGACTCCCAATATCTTAAGACATTTGGTCTCTGACCAAATGCAAATTTTGTTACAATGATCTCTGATTTAATGCAAATTTTGGTACAATGAAGGGAGGCCTTGGCATCTAATTTACTGCTGGGATTAGTATAGTTAAATAATTCATGTTGTACATGGCTCTTGATCCTGATTTTGCTCTGTGCCATTAAAGTCAGCCTCATTTCTTGCTCTAAACCAGGAATTTTAACTGACTTTTGTTGTACTTAAGAACACCGTGGCATCTGAACTTGAAATAACTCAAAATTGTTTTTCAGCTTCAAGAAGGAAACAAAAAACATTCTACAGACAAATCAAAGCAGAGTCATCCACAGGTCAGTCTAAAAGCACTCTGTAGTTTTAGGTATGAGCCCTGTAAATAGTAAAGTTTGTTAAAACACACAGATATGAATGGGAGGACAGAAGGAAGGACAAATGGGCGAAGAGTCACTTTGGACTTGTTTTGATCAGGAACTTCATGAATGGCCAAGTTGTGGCACAGGCAGGAACATTTATTTGTCCTATTTGTGGTCCTTCCATAATTCTTTTTAGAATTCTTTCTTTAGCCTTCTCTGATTTGAGTGCAGTACAGCATTAGCTCTTATTTTGACTTTTTTCTTTTCTTTTTGGCCCATTGACTTTGAGTGGTTAACATCTTCACAGAAAATACAGTCTTTCAGCCCTAAAAGTTTCCATATGTTTCACATTTTAAAATTATAACCTATTTTCCCTATGACCCTGATTTAACTTAACCCTAACACACGTGCTTAATTGTAATTTAGAACAGAATCAAACCCACACTAATTATATCCTCAATTTTGTATAATCTTTCTTGAGCTATTGAAAATATACCTGAGGAGATTAAATTTTTTATTGTAGAACAACTTAGAATCCTTTAATGCAAATTAATAACAATTATAAATTCACATATTTTTCTATCTCTAGGAGACAATGGAAGTGACCCTGAAAACAGAAGTGGAAGCTGGAGCTAGTGGTTTTAGTGTGAAAGGTGGAGGAAATGAAGGAATATTTATTAAAAAAGTACTTAAGGAATCTCCTGCTTCAAAAATATTTAGTCTTAAAGAAGGTAAAGTCTGATTTTTAATTTTTTTAAAATTTTATTCTGTATCTTTAAATAATGAGAATTGTAGCTGTGTGATCTGCCATCTCTTTAGGTATCAGAAATACTAGATTTTAAACCAACTAATATTATCTATGAGCTTAACCTGTCCATATTAATAATTTCTAGGATCACTTGCTTGAACAATAATGAAATGTGATGTTTTTTGTATACCATCAAAAAAAATCAGTTTTCACTGGAACAGTGGAAAAGATACATAGAAAGTAGTATATACGAAACTAAAATGGAAAAAAAATATAAGAAAACACAAAGTAATTAAAATTATGTATTATTGCACTTGCAGGTGATCAGCTTCTAAGTGCTACAATATTTTTCGATAACATCAAATATGAAGATGCACTCAAGATTCTCCAATATTCCGAGCCTTACAGAGTCCAATTCAGTCTCAAAAGAAAAATTTCTGTGCACGAAGATCTGGAACACTCTACAGCCCAGCACAAAAAGGAAAGGATAGGCCAGGTACATTTCTGATTAGTTTACAAAGTTTGGGTAACATACTGTAGTAATGTGTTGTGTGGAAATAGATCATAAAACACACGCTTGTGTCTTCTTAAGGCTTACACGTGTGTTTAAAGTTACTAGCATGAATATTCATGATTTAAAAAAATCCCACACAATATTTGCAGCTTTTTAAATATCTTGAGTGAGACTATGGGTTTTATATAAATCCACAATCTTGTTTTAGGTGGTGAAAATATTCATTAGTGAGTCAGCATTTTTTAATTGTTGATTGTCCACTGATGGAACAGACTTGGATAATCTTTGTAATACTTATAAGTATGTTCCAAAATGTAAAATATCAGTAAGAATTTTAATTCAAAGCTTCTTTGTAAGATTTTTCTATTTAAAAAGATTGGTGTCTAACCACTGATATTTTGACAGACCTCTTCATAGGTTTCCATCAACTTAAAGATTATATTTTCTTCATATACATATACCTATACATATAGATAAATACTATATATAACATATATTCGTACAGGGATAGATAGATAGATAGATAGATAGATAGATAGATAGATAGATAGATAGATGCATACATACATACAGAAAACACTGTTTACTGTAATATTTTGAAAGGAATATCTTCAGAAATCCATATATTACACTCAGTTTGTTTGATGTAATTTCTGCCTGACATTGCATATTTTTATAATCGTCAGGATTTTTTTATATAACAAGTAGATACTAGTAATAAAAAGAACATTTTTCTACATGTTTCAAGGTATGTTTTTTATTTCTTTTGCACCTATATTTAGGTTACTTCTAATCTTCTGAATACTATTTGTTCTTTTAGGAAAATGAGCTCAGTGAGAGTATTCTTGAAGAAACACTGCAAGTTTCAGGAAAATCCATTTCAGAAGAAGACAGGGAAACATTAATTGTAAGCCAAAGAGTAGGAAGAAGTAAGAGACCTAAAAAAGATAGATTATCATGGCCAAAATTTCAGTCAATCAAAAATAAAAAGATATTGAGGCACAGAAGATCTCATAGTACATCAGATGCATATGAGCCTGCTTTGCAGGATATTTCCCCTACAAGCACGGACACAGAGTCTCAATTTCCACAAGAGGTCCATACCAAAGAGAAAAAAGGAGGCCAAAGGAAGCTGAAGTTCCCTAGCATTGGATTCAGAATGCACAGGTCCAAACCAGAACCACAAGAGAAGCAAAAAAAAGAAATAAAAACGACACTGATCTCTGAAAGAGAAAAAATGCATAACTATGATATAAGCTTGGAAAATCCTGAAATTTTAACTGTTGAATACACCACATCTCCTGCTTATGAAATGAAGACAGGGGAGGGACATGAAACTTTAACAAAAGACTTAAAAGAAATTAAAAATGGCATTCCATCTCATGTAAAACAATGCCCTGAAGTTGAAATAAGCATTAAAGAAGACAAGGAAGCATCATCAAAATTTAGTGTACCTGAAGTACCAGACATAACAACAGAGATACCAAAACCTAGTTTAGAAACTGGTGATCTGAAAGTGAGCCCAACTAAAAAATCACCACAAGCCTCATCAAAATCCCGAAAAAAGAAACAGAAGGGAACAGCAGATAAAAAAGATGGAGAAAGTGGAATTGACATAGACTTGATGGGTCACAGTACTAAAGGAACTGTACAGGAAAAAGGCCTAGAAATTGGCACTGCTAAAGTAGAATTACAGACATCTGAAACACTGGAAACAGGGGAAAAACGAGCAGAAGACACACAAATACTAAATATTCAGAAAATAAATTATGGAATTTCAGTGCTCAAAAGAAAAGAGACAGAGACTGATACTACCAAACAGGGAAATGACGTTCCACAGTCAGTTCCAGAAAAAAAGGCTGATATGACTTCAGAGGACAGCAGGAATTTCAATATGAAAACTCTTTTGCCAGATGCACAATCAGACGTATCTGCTTGGAAAATACAAATGCCATCATTCAAAGTGGCCAAACCACCTAAAACAGACATGAAAATAACAAGAGAAGAAAGCAAAGAGGACACAGAAGATAGGATAAAAAAGGAAAGGATGGAGGAAGATGGCATGACAACAAATGACAAATCCTTAAACATAGAAATTGAAATGAAGAGAGGAGAAAAAGATATAGAGGGGAAAGAAAGCAAATTCAGATTGCCAAAGTTAAAATTCCCTACATTTACCTGGTCAAATACCAAGGAAGAAACAGCCCAACTTGAAGCACAGATAAGTGAAAGGGAAGTAAAAGTCCAAACCCAGGAAAATACAGAAGGACTTCAGGTAAGTGGACCACCAGAAAAAATTACGGTTCCAAGTGATGAAACAGAAATAGGAATATCAATCGGAAAAAAAGATGAAAACAATATAGGACAAAAACTTAAAGGCGACTTGCCAAGTCCGAAAAAAACAATGATAAAATCTTCCCCAATAGAAATTAAAACTGAAGATACAATAGGAAAAATACAGATTTCAACAGCAGATATTGAAATAGGGAAATGTGAATTAGATAAAAGATCAAAAGCAGAAATTTCAGAAATTAGAGCATCTAATATCAAAGCTCCCAAGGTGGACGTCACTCTGCCCTCCGTCGATGTCACTCTTCCACAAGCCAGCGTCGACCTGCAGGCGCCCGAGGCCAGCCTTAGTCTTGAAGGAGAAGCCAAAGTCCCAGAGAAGGAGGTCACCACCAAGACCAAGGACGGCAAGTTCAAGATGCCCAAGTTCGGCATGCCTTCCTTTGGCTGGTCCAGCAGCAGAGAGGCCAAGGGCACCGTGGCCGCCGAGGTGGACGTCAGCGTCCCGGAGCCTCAGGTGACGGTGCCTTCCGGAACCGCCGAAGTGGAGGTGACCCTGCCCGCGGCCGATATCCAAGCGCCCGGTGTGGAGGTGACCGTGGAGACGGGCACGGTAGCAGCAGAGGGTGAGAAAGGCCGATTCAAGATGCCCGACGTCAAGATGCCCAGCGTCAAGCTGCCCAAAGTCAAAGGTCCCCAGGCACAGGTCAGCCTGCCCAAGGCCGAGGTCTCGCTGCCCAAAGGCCTGGAGGGCGAAGTCGCCCTGCAGGGCCCCGAGGCCGAAGCCAGCCTGGAGGTGGCCGCTGGCAAAGCGGAGGGCGGCGGCATGAAAATACACATGCCCAAAGTCAAGGTGCCCAGCGTGGTCTTCTCCAAGCCCACCATCAAGTCTCCCAAA